CTCCATCATCTTTTGCTGCCTTATCTCTCTCCAGAGCACCTGTCAACATCTATATTCGACTCCTAGGGCTACTGTAACTATGTACCACAAACTGAGCAGCTGACAGCAACTGAAATCAAGTCTCTCACAGTGCTGGGGGCTAGGAGTCCAAAGTCAAGGTGCTCCTGGGGCCATGCTTCCTCTGAAGACTCCAGGGAAGAATCCTTCCTTGCCTTTTCCAGCTTCTGGTGGCTGCTGCAATCCTTGGCATTGCTCAGCTTATGGATGCATCACTCCACTCTGCCTCTGTTTTCACGTGGCAGTCTCCTCATATGTGTTTCTGTGTTCAATTTTCAGTCTCTTGTAAGGACATCAGTCATTGGATTAGGACCCACACTAATCTAGTATGATTTCCTCTTAACTTGATTACATCTACAAAGACATTTATTTCCAAAATAAGGTCATGCACATAGCTTCTGCGTGGACATGGATTTTGGAGGGACGCTATTAAACCCAGTACACCATCCAACAAGCTGTATACATTTTATTTGTTTCGTGTCTCCCTCTCCCATTACAATGTCAATACTATAAGGTTAGGGATTGTCAGTTTTGTTCATCACCGTATTCTCAGTGATTAGGGCAATGCTTGACATGGTGGACACTCAGTAAATATTTGTGAATGAATCTTTTATTTATTTATTTATTTATTTTTGGTACCGGGGATGAAACTTGGGTCCTTGCACTTGCGAGGCAGGCAGCAGAACCACTGAGCTAAATATCCCCGGCCCGTGAATGAATCTTAGTACTTATCTGTCTTCAAACCCAGGGGGAATCTGAGTGATAGAAGCAGGAATAAGGACAGGAATGCAGGTGTTGCCTAGGATATGAATCATTCTCTGCAAATGTTTGCTGGGTGAATAGAAATATTCAATGAATATATTACTTAAACATTTACAGAGTGACTGTTTTGTGCAAGGGATTGGGAAAAGATACAAAGTAATAAGAAGGAAACAGCTGAGTATCCTGACTGCTATCTTATGACTCTGGGGAAGTCATTCAACCTCTCTGTTTCCTTTCTTTATCTATAAAATGGAAGCAGTAACAATACCTGCCTCATAGGATTGTCATAAGAATTCACTTAATTCATATATGTGAAGTGCTTAGCACAGTGCCTGGCACATGGTAGGTTCCATAGCAATGTTAGTGGTTACTATTGTAATTGTTGTTATATTCCAACTGTGTGCAAGGTGATTTTAAAAAACAGCTATATTGAGATATAAATCACATACCCTTTTAAAGCATATGATTCAGTAGTTTTTAGTATATTAGCAGGGTTGTGCAACTGTCACTACGATTTAATTTTAGAAAGTTGTTATCCCCCTCCAAATAAGCTCCATACCTTTTAGCAGCCCCGCCCTACTCCCCATCTATGTATGCCCCAGCCCCTGATAACCACTACTCTGATTTCCATATCTATAGATTTGTCTATTCTGGAATTTCATATTAAAACAATCATACAGTATGTGACCTTTTATGATTAATTTATTTCATTTGTATATGTTTTACATTTTATCCATGTGTCAGCATGCGTTAACAGTTCATTCCTTTTAACAACTGAATAATATTCCTTTATGTGGTTATACCATTTTGGTTATCTATTCATAGGTTGAACATTTGATTGTTTCCAATTTTTGGCTATATTATTACTCATAATGCCACTATGAACACTCACATACCATTTTTTGTGTAGATGTATGTTTTTATTTCTCTTGGATAGATACCTAGGAGTGGAACTTCTGGGTCATATGGTAACTCAGTGCTTAACATTTTAAAGAACTGCCAAACTGCTTTTGCAAAGTAATGGCACCATTTTCACTCCCACCTTCAATAAATGAAGGTTCCAATTTCACTACTTGCTTACTAACCCTTCTTATCATTTGTCCTTTTGATTTTAGCTATCATAGTGGATCATAGTGAGGGTGTGCGCGTGTGCATGTGTGTGTGTGTGTGTGTGTGTGTGTAAGAAACTTATTTTTTTCCCATTAACTTTATTTCTATCTTCTGTTCAAAAGAGTGTGGAAGGAGACCTTCAAACCACAGTGGTTGTAGGATCCTATCCTTTGTGGCCCAAACAGTGGAAGCAGCAGCCCAGCATTTGGTGGCTGGCTGAGCATGCTAAAATTACAGGAGAGAACTACTGGAGTGGCACAGAGTACTTGAATGCCTTCAGACCAGTCTTCAACCTCAGGTTGAATGGTGGAAAACTCAGGAGCTAGAGTTATCTACTGGCCCTGAACTTTCTCCTTGATCACAGCCTTTTCAACAGCAGCCTGCTTCTCCTTTCCAGTTTCTTTAGGATCTCTGTAGAAGTAGATATCAGCCATGTGCTGCCGATGGTACTCACAGGAAGTGGTCCTCAGTGTGCTCAGAACTTCCTGGGCCAGCATCCATCATATCAGGCCCACTGACTGAACTCCCTTGTCACAGGGGGTGACAGTGTCCATATAGCACCAAGAAGAATCAGTGTTACACAGAGCAATGGTAGGCAGGTTAGCATAAGAAAGCTTTGTGGGAGCCCTAGGGTCAATAATCACCAGCAGATGCAGCTTCCGGATGGCTGCCTGAATCTGTTGTGAAGGCTCCAGAAGGGAAGTGCCTAGTAATAGGAGTGGCCCCAGTGGAAGTAGCAAACTTCATCACAGCCCACTGGCCAGTATTCTTGGAGAATAAAACACTGACATCAGCCAAGTTTTCAATGACAACAATGGAAGAAGCTTCTCTCAGCTCCTTTTCAGCCTGAGGAAATAGATGTCATGACTTTTCTTTTATAGATGTACTGCTCCTTTTGGAAGCTACCTAAGTGAGCCCCTGCTGCAAGGAATTTAAGGACATTCTCCTCCTTCAGCTGCAGGACATCAAGGGCTCTTGATATTTCTCTTTAAGTTAGAAGGAAATGGCGAACTTATGACAATGCCTGATGAGTAGCATAGAAAGGTCACTGTACTTTTCATCTGTATTTTCCCAATGGCTAGTGATGCTGAGCATCTTTTTTTGTGCTTATTGACCATTTCTTTTTTTTTGAGAAACGTCTATTCAGATCTTTTTCCCATTAGAAAAATGGGTTGTCTTTTTGTTATTGAGCTGGGAGTTCTTTACATATCCTAGACACAAGTCCTTTATCACATATGATTTGGAAATATTTTTTCCCATTCTGTGGGGTTTTTTTTTCTGTACAAGTTGCCTTTGCATGTTTCCCCCCACCCAAGATGTCCCTGTGAGCTAAGTGTTATTGATAGGGAAATAGAAGATCAGATGGAATTTAAATCCGGTTTTGCCTGGCTGTAAAACTCATGCTTTCCCTTCTATCCCAACTTGCTCACAAAGATAAGTTGAGACATGTTTCTGGTTTTAAGGAGTCCAGTCTGAAAGAAGACATTAAAACAAGAACATAAACAAATGTGTCATAAATCCAAGCTCCACTTGTCCTGCAAACACCAGGAAGGACAGTGCAGAGGAAGTGCAGTGGGGAGTCAAGGGGTCAAGGGAGGTGGGCGGGGGGAGGAGTGTGCATAAGAGCAAGCACATCTCACTAAGGAAATCAGTGTCGGCTTCAGTAAGGGGGCATTTAAGTCTTGAAGGATGGGTACAATTTTTTCAAGGATGGTGGAATGAAAGAGGAGAGCATTTCCAAAGGAGAGCAGGAAATGAGAGTTGAAAGAATGGAGCTTAGATCTCAAGTCTGGCTGTGATGGGGGAGTCCCAGGGCTTGTTGAGATGGGAGATCCTGGAACTGCCTTGGTTGGAGGATCCAGGGACTGGCTAAGATGGGGAATCCTGGGCTTGCATGAGATGGGAATCTGGCTTGAATGATGGAGAGAGTTTAGGGACTGGCTAGGGCGGCGATGCCTGTGGTGTGTGTGTGTGTGTGTG